AAAAAAAAAATATATATATATATATAAAATTATATATAAATATATACTATATATACCCAAATAAAAAAGTTTGCACACATTTATATGTATGTATACGAATTGAAATTCTCTCTTGAAGCGCTTAAAAGCTTTGATCGACAACTAAAACCGTTCGATCACAGATTTGAGCATAGAATTGACAGCTGAATATCGAAATATATGAATATTATGTTAATAAAATCATCATGTAACTAAAGCTAAAAATGAAGTATGTATAAATAAGTAAATAAAAGTACCCACTATATATAAATGGTTTGCTCCTACACTAAAAACACGATTCTTGTTTTATTTCAAAATTTTGSTGACGTGTGGTGAGTAAAGAAATTTTTTTTAGAAAAAAATAATGACTGCTGTGATTGTTTCAGCCTTCATTGTACTAAATTCAAGTGTGAGTCAAATAAGGTGGCAACTCTAAATTAAAATAACTGCAACAGAAACCGAAARCGTGGTAAAGTCTTTCATACTTTCAAAGAATTTTCAAAAATCTGTTTACTTTGTTACCTACATTGTTATTTTTCGTTCAAGGTGGCAACTCTTCTCAAAATTTTCTAATTTTCTGCTTTTAAAATTCCCTTCAGTATTTTAGCAACGAATTCTCTTAAGTGTTTTACGGATAGCTATTTTAAATCTTCTATCATAAAATTTTTTTTTTACTTAAAGCAGCAAACAGCTGGCAACTCTGTCCAAAAATTGTTCCTTTAAAAGGCTGTTTAAAACCTCTTTAGTTTGATACCTATAATGCAATATTTTATAATTTCTAATTTCAAAAAATGTGGCAACACTTATCAAAAATACACGCAGTTGTAAGCGTTTCGAATTCTCTTCAGTGCTATAGTTCTTACAAGCCGACTATCTTATACATTTTTTTACTTAAAATTTGCAAGCAGCTGGCAACTTTKTTCKAAAYTWKTTCCRTTAGCAAGCTTTCGAAAAMCTCTTTAGTTTGATACCCATAACAMRATTTTTCATAATTTCTCAATTTAAGTAAGTGGCAACTCTGTTCACAAATAGCAGGGTCGAAAAACTTGCAAAAACCCGCTTACTTCGATACCCACATTGTTATGTTTCTTTCAAGAGCGTAACATATTAAAAAAAGATGGCAAYTCTTCTCAAAAATGTTTGCAGTTCTAGCTGTTTAGTTCAGTGTTAAAATAGTTATAATATTTTTTTTTACTTAAAATTTGCGAACAGCTGACAACTCTATTCAAAAATAGTGGCGTTAGAAAACTTTCCAAAACCTATTTCGTTTGACACCCATAGKCCATATTTTAATATTTCGTAAATTYATTTTAGCAATTCTATTTGMACACAAACTGGTGGCAACCCTTTTMAGAACATTTTTAACGCTGTGAAACGCATATGGCAGTAATTCGTGAATTTCATCAAAATCTTTTTAAATCACGTATTATTTCCTCATAGTTAAACTGATATTCCTTACGGCGAGATTACAACTTTCCAAAAGATTCAAAAAAGAAAGACGAAAATGTTTTAGCCACAAGTACTCAGCTTTACAATAACACTAATGAAAAAGTTCTTACAGCAAACAGTAATTGTAGAAGCTATTCGAAAAGACACCAACTATACAACTTCACTCACTTCAGAGAAGTTTGTTGCATACTTTTAGGCTAAAAAAAACACGTATTGAGATGTCATACGTTTTACTGCACTTATTTGACAGTTTRGATGTCACTTGCTTGTTTTGCTTAAGCAGGCAGAAACTTATGACAGCGAACATCGCAGGTAGCATTCTTCCACATCGAAGTGATTTTTTTTAAATCTGGGCGCTCAGATGTAGATGTGCTGGAATGGGTGTTGCAAAACTTATAAAAAATATACATAATAGGTGAAAGAATTTTCAAATGCCGGATCATTGATATGAATTCTTACCAAGATTGAAATTAAAAATTAATTAAAATTATTTTAGAGTCAGTTCGTTCGCGGTAATCTAGTCCAAATCTAAGTTTACTTCTGTTTAAAAACAATTGTGCTCAGACATGTTGGTGTGGTGTCTTTATAACTACGTTGCAGTCAGACAGCGCAGTGCAAGTTGAAGTACTTTCATGCGCGATTCTTTGAGTTCAGAAGTTAAGAAGTGAGTTCAAAATAGTATATTCTGCAACAGTACTCTGCTACATAAGGCACCAATCAGCATAGGAGGGCAGCACGCAGAYTGTTACAACTTGAAATTAAATCATTGGTGTGTCAAAAATACTTAAATAATTTCATTCAAATATTTACATAAGGTTTAAACCCAGCTCCTTGCTTATGAAATAATACTCTTCTGAAAATTTTAGTCCAGTTAAGCACTTTCAATGGTCTTCATTTGAGTAGCCAATACAAATTTCAAAAGGSGTTTAATTTACCATTCCACCATTTCGGTGGATGTCTAAAGGTAAGCCTTGACCTTCCAAATGCGGAAYAGTCAAGATGGAAGAGTTGAGTTCTTTTCAACCTAGATAATCTGCTTTCTTTCATATAGCTCCTGCAGATGGTATCTGGTAAGGTTCCTAACATAAACACCAATGGAACAATTTGCTTGGGATTACCATAAGGGATGGATTCATGTCAAGCACGAAGCACTTTTTTCCAGAGCCWATTTTACAATCGCTTTTACTTTTACTTACGCACTTGCATGCCAAGCGTTGACGGTACTCCAGTGCTAAAAAATTTATGTTTGCAAAAATGCATACAAAATGGCACATAAGGCACAAAGCACACATGCATATGTATAGGTATGTGTGCCAATAAATATGTACGTGTGTGTGCATGGTCACATAAKATTTTAGCTAATAAAATTTTAAGTGCCTACACGTCCTTGAATTATCGAAATGCTTATGACAGCAAAATGGCAAATGGCACATGAAATTTATATGCACGTATCCATATATAACAAAAAAAAAAATATAAATAATTTTGCAAATAAATAAATACTTACTTGCACAAGCAGTAAACCAAATGCAATTTCGTTAATAGTTCTTACAAAAACACTTTACTGCTTTATTAACTTTCTTACATTAAATGTAGTTGTATAGTATACATGTGTGTATATATGTAAATTTTTTTTATGTTTTTGTTGTTGCTTATAAATAAATTACAAATAAGTTTACTTACAAATTAACTGTTATGTTAACAGCGTATGTATATTTGTATGTGTGCTTGCATTTGTAATACGAATCATGAGGCTCAGTTGGCGTAAGCAATGCGGCAGCGCCTAACACAGGGTTGCACCAACGGCCGCCAATCAGCCTAGCGACCTCATCGCCTCGGCTGCAGCACTTTTATTGCAACCTTTATTTGCAAACTGCTTGGCCTTGGCCATAAGTTACACTTGACTTAACTAATAAAATGTTAATTGAATTTTAATTACARTTGATTTATAAATTAATGAGACAAATATGCAGCAGACAATAATATTGTGCAATTTTTTGCTCAGTTATGCACTTACATAATTAATTCTTATATGCATATTTGCTTAAGTAATGAATACAAACGAAATTAAAGTGTTKAATTGACAGTTTAACAAACATTTTAATTAACACAGTGGGCAATAATAGCGTGTATACAAGTGAGGAATTTGTCAACTTCTGCTATGTACTGTACATTTTTATATWTTTTTTAGAATTTTTCAATTGAAATATTATTTTTTTGCTTTTTGAGTGATAAGTAGCAGATTTTTTTGATGTCTTCGATTCAACAAGCGTTCCTCAACAGCCAATCRAACGAAATATTTGAAGTTTGATTAGACATACGAAAAGACTTTTTCGACTAGCGAATATACCAWATGCTCAAGCAAGCGGACACCACTTGTCGTGCAACCCTGCGCTAACATGTTTTGTGAGGAATRCGTGCAGTTAAATGGCGAATCGAAGACAGCTAATGATAAATTTCAGTTTGTTTTTTATTTTCGCAAGTGTTGTCATAATACTTGTAATGGAGGGTCTAATAATTTTACAGCRGTCTAAATTAGAATTTTCGGATTTGTTTAAAAATCTTGTTCACCAAAAAGGTCTTTATAATATATGATTCACTAGCGGATCTCAAATTTACTAACTTAGCGGTCTCAACGCACTAAATTCAAACGTATGCAGCAACCAGTTAGGCAAATCAGTTGTCTTGACGGTTAAATTTACAGGTTACCGGTTAAAGTTTTAATTTTAATGTTTTTGAAAGGTTTGTTTATTGGCTAAAGCCTAAATCTTAAGAATACCTGACGGTGATATGAATCAGCTCGCAAATTGGAAAGAAAAAAGTTAAGTTACCCCAAATATTTTCGTTTTTATCAGAACTAAATTTTAACAGAGCATTTTCAAAAACAAAACTAAGTATCATCAAAAAAAATCGAAAACTAATTTTTTTTGCTTACGATTATATGTATCATAAATTTTAACCACCCGCTGTCAGATATAATCAGTTGATAACCAATATGTACCCATTTTATAACCAAAACTCAAATTTTGTTTCAGTATGAGTAGTTTCTATTATATCGTTTTTCCTACGCCTGGAAACTTATGTGTCATATGTCAGAAATTTTTAACCTCCCGCTGTCAGATATAACCAATATGTATAACTAATATATAAGCAATACATAACCATTATGTAACCATTTTATAACCAAAACTACGTTTTTTTCAATATGAGTGGGTTTTATTATATCGTTTTTCCGTTCGCTTGTAAACTTATGAAAAATGCTGTTACRCTATTTTGCATTTTAGTTGACGATATGCAGAGCAAGAGACTGCTTTTCAATAAAATATATTAATTTAGTGCCCTGTCAAAGTCTTTTTGTAAGAAAAACATTCTTTTCAAAAGAAAACATAAAAATCTATGTAAACTGGAAAAATCGTTTGGACTTTAAAGCSCGGAGAACGTAGGAGATCTACTGAACAATTTGCCCTGAGCAAGGTGCATTTTACCGCTATCTTAGGAAGTCTTACTGGACACTGTCCAGGCATTCATGCGTAGAGGCTTAACATGTTGTCTGACGCTAGTTATCAAAGGTATAAGGAAGAGAATGAGGTCGAAAAAGCCAGACACTTTTACCTCTATTGTCCAGACTTTGCAAAACTGAGGCTGAAATATTTCGGTAGTCTTGTGTTCGACGAACCAGTAGACATTACCGAATTTCCGCCGTTCCCACGACAGTCAGGTTTATGTACCCGGAACCGACCCGGATTCTTAATCGACAAGGACTGTCCGATTTCTGCCACAACAACAACCGAAATTGTTTTTTGTTTAAGGCCTAAAGCGTTTTGTCGTGTAAGGGTGGTCTTGTGATTCCATTTTTAGGAGTTGCAGATTCCACAACCGACCGACTTTCTGAGCTGTGCAAGTGAGATCCCACTTGGAATCGACCTCTCAACCAAACCTAACCCAGAAGAATGTAAGATCAACTGCTAAGTKCTAACAACATTTTTGCTACTGGCATAAAATGAGCACGAAAAATATGCTAGCGCTGCACGGATCACAAAAATCGTTCAAAGCTGGCGAGAAAACTTGGATTTTAGATACAAATATTTCACCAAATTTTACATTCCAAAACTTGCAGTTAACCTCCAGTTCATCACTCAAACWCTACTACCTTTCACTATAATTACACAATGCCACCAATGTTCTACCAATACTTTGCCTGCGCCTGCGTAGGCAGCGGATGATTATAAGCCGCCGCGGCGACTGCTGCCGCGCTGTTCAGCTGATTGTTGTGCGCCGCTGCAGCAGCGCCAGCTGCCGCATAATCATTGAGTGTGTGTTGTGCGGCAGCCGCATGCGCATGATGMGCGGCGGCAGCGTTGTAATTGGCGGCCGCTGCTGCCGACTGATTCAGATGGTAAGCGGCTTGTGACCAATTTGTGGTGGAGTCCAATTTCGAGTAGTTCTCGCCGGTTAGATGTGACAATGATGGTGAAATTTTCGAAGCATTCTCCAGCGTCAGCTTAGAGAAGTCATCGATTGAAAGCTTGGAGTAATCTACAAATGAAAGAGACAATTAAAAATAATATTTAAATATTTAACAGAAATTTTTTTTTCAAAATATTACACTTCACTCTCTTCTACCCTTCTACCCACCTTGATGATAGTAATTCTGCCCGCCGAAGTGTCCATGCTGAAAACTGCTGGCGAAACCATGTTGCGCCGACGGCGCCACCAAATCATAGCCGCCCATCTGCGTGTGATGGTGTGGATGATGCGCTGCTGCTGCGGCCGCAGCCGCCGCTGCATGTGCCGCGTGATTCTCATTCATACCCGCGCTGGCCGTGCTGGCGGCGGCGGGACTATAGCCAGCCATGGAACCGACTGCGGCTARTGGACCAAAACCGAGTGGCGCTGTGGCAGCCGCACCGCCGCCCACGCCACCCACGCCGCCAGGTACACCAGCGCCACTGCCGCCGCCATTCATGGGTGAGAGTCCGGTGCCAGAGCCACCGGAATGTTTGCGTAGACGCGCGCGGCGATTACTAAACCAGACTTGTATGCGCGCTTCGGTGAGGCCCGTGGTCTGTGCGAGCTCCTCGCGTGTATACACATCTGGATACTGTGTGCGTGTGAAGGCGCGTTCGAGCGCTTCCAATTGTTCGGCGGTGAAGGTGGTGCGCGAGCGACGCTGTTTRCGTTTCAACGGTATGCCAGGCTCCGATTCGGTRTCGCTGATATCTGAGTCGCGGCCTGAAAGTAGAGAAGTTGTCATGTTGTAATATKTTGGTTTTGAKGAAKTGTTTCTGTTTGAGGATCCTAAGYCCTAAGTCTATATAGGTATAATGTCTTATTGGTTCAGGCTTTCTCAACTGGATATTGTTTTAGATATTTTCTATGCCAAAGGTATATTACTTTTAAGCTGCATAAACGCATACATTATTGAACTAGATATTTAAGAAACCACAGTCCCAAGTAGGCTAAATTTCCATGGCAAACACRACTTCTAATGGAGAGCACAACAGGAAAGTTTACGACATTCGACCTCGAAGTAAGCATAGCTTTAACTATATTTATTCTTATATGTACTCGATACCAGTGTCTTGTAAAAGTGCTTTAGGCAGGCAGTTTTCCGCCTACAACTGAGAATATTCTTCTTTTGTAATCCTGTTCTCATAACAGTTTTCTTCATTAAGTTGTTCTAAGAAGACTTTCATTAAGACTTCTTATGAATACTTTTGGATAACTCATTCTTTGGTTAGTTCTTCAGCCTCTGTAAAGGCATTAAGTTTCGTTCTCAGCTCATATGAAGAATTATTTAAAGACCTTCCAACTTCTTGCATAATAGCTAMCAAAAACACTAACCAAAATCTGCTWGCCAGTTCCGCTTAAAATTCAGCRTCAGGTGCCACTACTTTTTTGTCAATATGTTTCCAAGACTTGCAGTTGCATTTCCCTTATCATCTCTTCCTGGGAAATAAACATATTCAATGCTCCCGCATCCAATCGCGGAGCCCGCCCTAACGGAATCATTGAAATGTAACCCGAAATTATTCACGCCTCGTAAAAATTAATAGATTTCCACACACACACACACCCCACACAAGAACGAAAGCAGGAACATRTGCAGGCTTATRCAAGTAAGTAGCGGAATTCTCTACMCTTAAGYAGCTAATGAAGGCATGTAAAYCATTTCATTTGCTTCAATTCTATAGCGAGCAATCTACGCRAGGCAATGTGGCCACCAAAGATTTTGTATCGATTCAGGTAAAGCCAAAACGAAATGTGATTGGCGCAGACACACAGCTATACTCTAATAAAAATAATATAAACTAATAAGCAAAGAAATCAACGCGGTTATGACTCTTGACTATTAATACATATTATTTTCTATCGAATGCCGYAAGCGTTTATGAATGAAGAGCTCTATGTCTATACGACCACCATGTCTTCACAAGCAAAGAGAGACGTTTTGAAATACATACAGATATATGCAGATGCTTTACAAAACCAACCGCGAAGCCAACCGCCAACCATAAGCAGACTTTCTCAGCGTTACGGCTCGTCAGCTTCCCTGCCCAACGAGCCGCATTGCACTGGTGGCCATAGTGTGGCTGGGTGTGCAGACAATTAATGCTCCATTGCATTTGAATTCAAACGTCAAAAAGCGTCGCAAATCTGTCAAAAGAACTCGCCGCCGCCGCCAATTGCCTAACGCTTAACCTCAGCCTCCAGAGCCTTTCGCGGCATATGGTTCAACTGCTTAAATTGGTGCTTGTTAGTACTACTCGTTTGGTGTCCATAAGCTAAGTGGGGAAATTATGCCGTGTTAAATACTCYGAGGGCTTTAGCTTGCATGAAGTGYTTAAAGTGTTTTACTACAACTTAATTATGTTGCATGTTCAGCCATTTAAACAGTTAACTTAACTGAAATTGGCGCAAAAATTTGCGATGCTCTCTGCTCACATACAATCGGGGAATTATTCGGCAGCACAACTTTCCCACCTGCTGTTCGCTAGTGATCAATACTCTGCCATAAAAGTTCAGAGTTTTGACTTTGTCAGTTCAGATCCATCTTGTTTTTGGAGTTTCTCAACTCCGATTGAAGTCGGAAGCCGAAGTTGGCGCTGATTGGAGACTCCGAATGTAGTCAGGTCCTTCTCCACCTGGTATTTTCAACGGAGTGGAGTTCTTCCTTCAAGAATTTGGTCTCTGTGCGTTGAGAGAGGACTTTACTTCTGACTTGCCTACTCAGTCTGAAGTTGTCTACTCAGTCTGTTGGCAAGAGTTTTACTGCCTTGGATTTTGACGTTGTGGGTGGAGTTAATCCTGGTTCCAGGATAGCCGAAATTATCTACTTATGACTGTCAACAGCGTCGTGGTGGCCAAGTCGGGAGTGCGATGACTGTATGTTTGAAGACAGGAGATATTTTGCCTTGCCCTCGTTCATTACCAGACCTCTTTGCTTCGCTTCCTTTTCCAGTCTGGAGATAGCAGAACTAAGACTTACCTACAGAAAAGGCAATGAATCTTATCCAACCTAACCGCTCATAGACRCAAAGAATTTTTCATGGACAAGATATCGAAAAGAAAGTGTTTTTCCGAACCCGTAGTTCGATTTAATTTTCCATTCTGGATTATTTCTTCCAATAACATCCGTATCGATATTGATTGGCTCTAATGTTTCGCTGATTTCGGCAAATCAGTGTTGATATCGAAAGGAAGATTTATGGTCCTTTGCGTATTAGGACTGGCGACATAKTTCWGCRAATTARGAGACAGCAGCTTCGCTGGCTAKGCCATGTCGTCCGAATGRATGAAAGCTCTGAAAGTATTCGAMGCAGTACCCGCCGGGGGAGGCACTCCGTTGAAAAAACCAGGTAGAGAGAGACCTGGCCTTGTTTGGAATTTTCCATTGTGTCAACWGTGTCGTGGTCGTATAGGTCTCCAAGTTCTTTTCTGTCCTCATTCCTGACAAGACCAACTTTCTTCAYTTTTTTTCTAAGCTTCTCAAACTGTCGGTTGTTAAGGTCTGCCATGTCAATCCCCTATTTTCTGCTGTCAATCCCTATAGCCTGCTTATKTCAAATTGTTCACTTCCACGAATCAGCTATATATTTTTCTCAGTGCACACGCTGTCAAACACCTTCGCATTTATCTGTCCACATCTTAACACTTTCGTGAAAAGAATTCATTATGACAGTTTCATTACACTTCAAATCAGCATAACACAAAAATGACAATCTGCGCACAGTAGTTGACGGCTGTTACAACGGATTTCATTACATAACAACGACAAATGTCAAAGAGCTGTCACATGTCAGATGCAAAATAGCGAAACCGCGAAGAAAAAAAAAAACTAATGTTAAATATGCAGTAAACCAAACGCCAAATTTAATTGAGTATCCACTTACAGATCGGACACATAACAACAACACAAATATCACACACAAACCAGGTCCACAAATAGACATGGCACCATACATATGCATAAAACTAGTAACTCACTATTTAGTTGTTGGTTTTTTATTTCGGCAAACACGATCTCATACTTGTCGTATGTTCACTTGTCTGCTTTTATGACAATGTCACATAACAAGTCGCCAGCGACGGGCGAGCCGACGAGTAACTGGTTGGTTGACTCTCAAAAGTGCCGCGCTCAAATCGCGCATGAAGCGTGCGGGTGTTCCCATGTGTCGGTTCTTACCACCGCCACGCCACGGCCACAGCTAATGCCGTCGTTGCTCACCGCCGTGTGTTCTAGCTGAGTTGACAAGAGATTTGTGGGCGTGGTTGTCAATGTCGGTTATGCGCCGAAGATCATGGCAAATTATTTAGAGAGCTCATTACAAAATAGTGTCATAAAAATGCACACACACAAACGACACTTACCCGAGCTGAAGGCGAGTAATCCGTGTGTGCAACTCCTTCGCGTTTTCCCTATTAGATAAAAGTGAAAAGGCCGCCGGTGGTATAGGCAGTTTGGGAAATTATTCAACGAGATCGCAWGCTCATTTTTCATGCACTAAAGTGTCAGCCGGCGTTCGGCAAAGCAGTTGTATGAATTAGAAGTGGTCATGGTGCAACGTAAATGCCGTTRAATAGCGTGTATTTTTGTGGTTTTGCCATTTGTGCAATTTGGCATGGTCGCATCGCCGTGTTTTTGACACTTCGTACCACAAATTATACTAAATGCTTGCATGCAAGCAAATTTATGAACTTATGAAACACCGCCGGCAGACATGCAGTTGTCRTGGTCTTGTTGTAACTCTCGATTGRTTACAAACGAACAATCATAGGTGCTTGCTCGTATTGTATCCTCCACTGTGTGGTCCYTAGCGTTGCACGTTCATTAATGGTTTCACTTGCGTAATCCCTTTAYTGTCTCCAAAAGTCCTATTGACTTATATGCTAAGTATTGTTCTCGATTTCTTTGATTATGCCGGAAATTGTGTGTTGCTTCCGAATTTATCCATTTGCGGCTTAAAATAAGAAATGCTACCGCTTCCGCAATTTAATGACGATTATCCTTGTAAGGCCACCTTAGAACCGTGTGTAATGAATTGCCGATATCATGAAACAGAAATGAAAAKACATTTCTCGGTACGCACGCTTCTGAAATGCTTAATATTAGATTTTCAATAAAAAATTTGTTTTTGTTTGACAAATTTGGCTATGGAGGGATCAGAGGCCATAAGTCGTAATGGTGTGTGAAATTCGACGTCGAAAACTAGTAGTGCTTTTTTATTTATTTGGGTTTGGTTGAGGTTTTGAAAGGAGACGGAAGAATAGGACCCASAATTCATTTGAAATAGTTCTTTCAGGCCGTACTGCTGGATTTCAAAATATAATGACCAACTATGGATCTGTTTTATACTACTCATGGGGTTTCTTGTGATATGATTCACTAAGAATATTAATAGACATTCGGTTGACAGCTCTTAACCCTTGAATTAAATTGTTATTTTCCAGTTAGGACTTATTGTTTCATCGCAATCAAAATCGGCTGTTCTTACTGATTCTTCTTATTCGATGAGCCAACCAGCTCGARTTGACACAAAGGTTTGGGTAGTCGATAAGTTCGAGCTTTCCATCCGTGGTCCCCGTTTGATTTGATGCAAACGCTTCACTAATCCCTAAGGCAGAATTTTCAATTCRTGATTTAAGACTAAAGCTAGTCCGAGTTTCTAATACTTTTCCAGTCTGAACGTGAGATAAAAGCTTCCGGAATCATAAAGTGCGAGCATAGATTC